TTCACGTTTTTAATCGAACATTTCTCATTTTCCATGTAGGCAAAATCTAGCAACTGCATCCTTAGATGATACAAGAGAGAAACAAAGGGAGAAAAAAATTGAGAAACAAAGGGCTTTTCAAGACGCCGTGAACAGAAAAGATCGTGAAGAAGTTCATCGACTACTGAGTATCGGTATGGATATTAACGCATTGAACGAAGCCGGCGATACTCCATTGCATCAGTGTATACGGGATGGTAGAGTTGATTCTGCAAAGCTACTGGTTGAGTTCGGTGCTGACATCAGAAGAACGAATCGCGATGGTTGGTCCCCAGTCCACCTAGCAACCACTCTCGGTCAAAGAGATCTGGTGATGTTCTTGCTGGACAAATAGGTTGTCATGGATGAAGCTTGGAGCAAGTGGAATTGTTTTTGCATGTACACACTCTTAAGTTAAATATATCCGCAAGAACAATGTGAAATTCTACATTTTGATTTGCTGCGCAGAACTATGAACAATGTTGCAAGCGCATGTAACAACAAAGAAAGCAAATTATTTGCTTGGCACCGTGTACAGATGACATAATTACCCATAACAGCTCGTGGCTTGAATGCCAATGACACCTCAATAAAGTTTATAATAATCTGATTGTATTATCACCAAAATATATTATCACTAAAATAAATCCTCTCAAATGAGCCATGTTCTATAATGCAGTTTACCCTTTGCACCCCAACATCAGTATGCATATTCTTCTCACTAATCTCCATAATTTCCTAAGGTGCTAAAAAGGAAAATTTTCTAAAAATCAAGAGCTTCTAAAGCTGATGATCATTTCCTTTCCCACTGCAACCTTAATGTGTGATTCAAAGGAGAAATTAGAAGCTAATATAATTCAAAGGGTCAAAACGTCACACGAGTCTGGTAACGGATTAATTCGTCAACCCTTTCTTTAGCATTACATCTCAGTACCTCTCTTACACCACCTCGAGGCAAGATTTCTGTTTAGTGAATGCTTTGTGCTTTTAACCTCTTGAGTTCCGGACCTAATTTCACCCAAACACCCAGCAATATGCAGACACCAGTTTAAGTCCCCGATTTTCTCTCTCATATTTACCATAAAACAAACCTGTGCTGGTTGTCAAATAGTGAGCACACACAGACAACAAAATTGAGCACATTTCTGTTCTAATCTGACCACAAAATTCAAAATGTGAGTTTCACTTTTACATGATTACAGTTTGGGCTGATATTTTTTTTACTTTTTAAGTGTTTATTTAACTTTAACAGTGTTTATTTGGTTTATTCTATATCCAAAATGTTTTTTTTTCCTGATTTCTCACTCTGATCCCTTTGGATTGAACAATCAACAACTGAACAGCAACATTACACATTATGCTTAACCTACAATAGGCTGGCACTAGCAAGAGTCCTGTGGTTGTATTTGCCTTTGATGGCAAAAAGACATAACAAGTTGAAGCCAAATTCCTAAGGTGAAATTCTATCAAAACTTCCACTGTGGAAGTTTCGGTTCAATGTGCTTAGTTTGTAATTTCATACAGAGCCAAACACACTTTAGAAGTTTAAGGTACAGTTACATTGTAAGCTGTGTACACTGATAATTGTTAATAGATAATGAACTGGTTCAATTACTTTGTCAAAAGTCCAGGAATCCTCATCATCCATTTCCTCACATCATCATGTACATGATCTGCACCATTCTGCTTAACAATGCTACAGGCAAGTACAATATCAGCCAAGGTCATTTTCCCGCCAAGAATCCACTGTTTTGCAAGCTTTAATTCAGGACTTTTTAAGGCAGCAGTTCGCTCTTTGCTACTTGCTAGTGATTTGTCAATCCAGTTGTCCACACATGCAGACTCTTCAGGTGTTAAATTACCATACAAGTCAGGGAGAAATGTGCGGCAGAGGAAGCGAGCAATTGTTATTTCACCAGTCAACGGATTGTGGCCAGATGGAGACACTACTAGAGAAGGAAGATCTCCCACTGAAAGGAACAAAAGATAAAGAATCTTAGTAATACGTTACAGTGTTCACTGGATGAACTTTAAATAACATTTGATCTCATTAACAAGCAAAGACTTAGCCTAGTACTATAACTGTCACAATACTACAATTTAATCTCATAAACTAGCAAAGACTTAGCCTAGTACTATAACTGTCACAATACTGCTATTGACAATCCATTTAACAAATTGATGTGGACTCACGAGGTGCAGCCGAGTAGGTTGGCAACAAATTTTGACCATTGTGATGACAAATATCTATGTTGATATGAGTACAGACCATGCTTGACCACTGTTGATTTGTTTCTTACCACAGTACCATGTAAAATATAAAGATTCTTTCAGTGCATGACCAAGATTGTGATGGGAGCAGCATTGTCTTTACTCTTCTCAACAATAGCAAATTGGCCAATCAGACTGCAACATTACTGCCAACTGTGGTAAAAACTGACTTGGAATCTTGACAGAAAGATTAAACTTTTCTCATTGAACTTTTACAATGAGAAGGAACACTTGAAACATGTCAATAGTTTCAGAAAAAATCAACACACTTTAGCCTTGCTCCAAAATAACACATAGCTAAAGATTTTTGTCTTTGACACAATTTTGCTTAGTAAAAAATGTTGGTCAATTGAGAGGTTGCATGAAAGGTAACTTAAATATTTACCTTCTTTCCAAACAATAGTTAAAATGATTGGGGCACGCCCAACTCCTTTACTACATTTGGAGAAGTTCTGAAACTGCATTCTGACAGCATCAGGAATAGGTTGTTTCACTGACGAGTGGCTGAACATGGCTGTTGTATGGGCAAGCCCTCTCTGCTTCATAATATGTTGTAGGGTGCTGATAATAAGTGGAGGGTCACTCGGTGAAGCAGACATCACAAAATCACATGTTGTTGGAGAAACCTGTGTGGTTATCAACAGTGATTAATGCTTTGTCAATCAATCAATCAATTACTCATATGTAAGTCCTTTTGTGGTCAATCAGTCAGTCTTCTGGGTTGGTCCATCAATTTATGATCAGTTAGCAAGTCAGAGGTCGGTCTGTCAATCAGTCAGGCAGTCATTCAGGCTGGTAATAGAGTGTTATCAAAATGAGAAAAGTAACCTGTAAAAAGGAAACATTAACTGCTTTTTCACTGACAAAAAACCTTTGTTTACTGGTTTTCAAAAAAGCCCTTTTTACATTTTTGTGCAATTCTTATTCCTGACCTCTCCCGGCCTTTGGAAAAAATAGTGTTATTACCAGCACATTTAACTTTTATTTTTTCGAACCCAACGGTTAGAAAAAAATTAAGAAGCATCCCTGCTAGAGGTGCGGTAGCCCGAATCTTTCACTGGCCTCATAATGGCTGCAGATCGACATCTAGTAATCTCCTGTAAGGATTTTTATTATTTAGCCTAAAAATGTAGTAATCATTGAAGTGCACTCTGCTTACTTTCCCTTTTGGACGCGGAAGAGAAACTCCCAATAGCTTGGCAACTTCTTGAACGGAAGTTTTCAGGCCATTCAGTTCACGAAGAATATCCTCTTGTTTTCTTTCGAGACTCTGAAGACTCGATGACGGCAGCTGTGCCTTGCGGTCCTAGAATTAAAAATTAGATGAGTGATCGCTGCGTAGGCGAAAAAAAGCTCACAAGCTCGAACACGTGATGCAATAAATTGTTTTATACACTGAACACCATTCAGTTTCACGATCTACCTCAAGTTTTGAACTCGTCGGATAGTAGCTGGGCAGGCCATACATACAATTTGGAAGCGGTACAGCCGTATCTTCGTAATATGTCGGATGGTGATACATAGAGATTACGGAACCTGCAGCCGCCATTTTAGAAAGACGCCGTTTGCTAGTTGCAAGGCATTATGGGAAGGGCCTCGAGGACAACATCGATGGCAGCGTCCCATATTAAATTTATTATTTTCTCGAACTTTTAACTGGTTTAATCAGCAACATGTAATGATCACTTGATGCCGATTATCTTTCGAATTTAAACCAGAATTAAGTTATAATCCCTCACTGATACATTTCAAGAAATTTTTTAATCATGCATGATGCATTTTGGGTGGTCACGTGACCAACTAAGAGTTCTTTCCCCGCGAAGTAAAAATGTGGCTTGAGGAAAATGAAGTGACAAAACAGAGTGGAATATACCGGTGAATGCGAACAGGAGAGGGCTAAATGCACTTCATTTCAAGTGCTTTAGCTGGGATCTGTAGATTTAATCGAGAAAATGAAGAGAGGAAGGGGACGGCCACCTAAAAATAAGGTTCAAAGCTCAAATTCGCCAGATGTCTCGAGTGCAATCAACCAACATGGCGGACACCGCAGTCCGCGTGTCTCTTCTTCTATGGCCATTAAAACTCGAGGTTATAGCGGAACAACACCACGTAAATACTACGGGATGGAATCTTCCGATTCCGATAGCGACAATGAATCTATTTCTAGTCATGGATCTTCCATTTCAAACACTACCAGCTCTAAAACTCGTTATGTCGAGCCCTTGAAAGTGGTAACTCCTCTAATTTTACCGCCGTCATCTGACGATCTATTGCTCGAGCCAGAGTGTATTTTGCAAGCGTTAGGGATTTACGAGGTTTTAAGACATTTTAGTCGCATAGTACGACTCTCCCCCTTTAGATTTGAAGACTTTTGCGGGGCAATCCAAACTCCGGAACAATCTTCGTTACTTGCACAAATTCACATCGCTCTACTACGCTTTTTGTTGTCTGAGGATGATGCGAGTGGCTTGACATTCGTTGCTACCGACGAAAAAGACAGCTTCAACATTCTCTCCTACTACTTAGGTGACTTTACTTGGCCTGAACTTATTAGAAGCTACATCTCGTCAGATAAGACCGAATTTGGAGACACAGTTACGGCTGTTAGTGGACATGATGAAGATCCGTTCCCTTTTACAACAGTCGAGAACAGATTGAAGGTTCTCCAGCGACTTTGTGATCAATTCTTGGCCTCTAATTCAGTCAGATACGACATAATGAATGAAGGAATAGTCGAATCAGAGGATCATTGTCGCAATTGCTGCAAAATGGGCGATTTACTGTGCTGTGAAAGTTGTCCTGCAGTTTACCATCTTCACTGCCTGAAGCCGCCGTTAGAAGTGGTTCCCGAAGGCGATTGGCTGTGTCCCGTATGCGAGGCTCACCAAATCAAAGGTGTCACGGACTGTTTACCTGATTGGAACAGAGAAGGTTGGCTAAGAAACGCCCCTTTAGGGGTAGACAGGGAAGGAAGAAAGTACTGGTTCTTAGCCAGACGTTTGTTTGTGTAAGTATTTACTTCCAACATGGTTGACATGGTATATTTTCATCAGAACGATTGCAGTGGTCTTTACCTTTCGTTGACCATCTTTGCATGGCTAACTACTGACTTCCTTCACATTTGTACTTTTTTGATAGCTGTTTTTGGCATGATGAAGTATGGTTGAACTTAATGCATTTGTTCTTTGTTCTATTTTTGCAAGCTTTTTTTTTTTTTAATTAAAATCAATTTTATTATTTAGGGCCACAGCCATCACATCGCTTAAGGGGATCAAATAATAAGCTGGATATAAATTAAATAGATTAATTTTTTCTATTTTCCTGCACCACTCTGATTGCAAATAAGCTTACATGCCAAAGTGTAGGATTTGAGTAGGCTTATTAAAGTGGGTCAGGGAGGGGAACGGGGCTGTCTCACAGGTTTGGAATTAGATGGTGTGAATTAAATGTCCTTGTGGTTCACTCTTATCTATTCTTAACCACCCTGTTACGGAAAAGCTTCTAAATTTAACAGGATGTAAAAGGCAGCACCCTGAATTTTTTTGGTTTATCTCAATTTTTTATGTAAATGCAATTAAGGATTTTTTAGTAAGGTAAAAACCCTTGAATTGTTGTGAATCTTTGCCTTCCACCTCGCAGATGAAATAATGGTTGCATGGTTGTGAAATATGTTGCAGTCCACAATTAATTAAATTGAGTTTAATTACTGAAGATACTCTGTCACTAGTCTGCCATCCTCTTCTATTGACTACTTCTTCCTATGGAGAAGGTTGTGTGGAATATACTTATTCTAATGTGACCACTATTTAAAACTAAACCCTTATATCATTATGCATATTACTTTTCTTTTATTCTTGAGACCTTAATGTGTGATTTAGTGAGTCAGGTGTCATATTCAAAGGAGGAATTAGATGCTAGTCACTCTTAGCAGTCAAGGGGATCAAAACATTTTTCATACTTTTCTTAATAGGGAAGGTTGTGACGAGACACTGTACTACAGCTGCAAAGCTCACCTGGATGAACTGTTGAGCTCTCTGGAAGAGGATGGAAAGGAGAAAAGGCTAATTTCTGTTCTTAGAATCAAGTACAAAACCATGGTGAAGCACATGGAAATGACAGAAGCTCTTACAGAGGCTTCAAGAGGTAGAGTTATTAAAAATATAAAAGGAACATTGTGGGAGGAAAACTCATGACAGAGAGAAAGAACATTGTGCAGAGCTCTTGGCTTCCTTTAAAAGAGCGCTCAGCTGTTAACACCTCATGCTGGTTCTTGTGATTTAAATCGTTGAAATTGACTCCATTTTTCAAAATTTCAAACATATTGAGAAGGCAAGGTCTGGTGAAAACAGAAAAGACAGGAAAGGCAAAATTAGTCTTGATATGTGGCCACCCTCTGATTGGTGTCTTAAATCAGATTACTGTTTGCTTGGTTCCTTTTTAAAATAAGCATGCTGTATTGTTTGCTCTAGGATATTAATGATAGTTTAATTTGTAGGAAATCTTCCCTCTGGTCTCACCAAAACAAGACCAAAACAGATTAAAATGAAAGAAGTAGAAAAGACAACTTCACCTGTAAAAGAGGAAAAAGACCAGGAAAAAGATGGAGAGTTGGAAGTCTCAGAGGAAAAACTTACTGCTGGTATGAAAATTTCTGTTTTTCTTCTCCTTCTCTTTTTGTATTGGTATGTGTGGTGGGATTAAGTTCCCCATCAGTTAATACAAATAAAGTGTTAAGCATGGCTGCCTCATTGTAGTTAGTGATGAACGTCATCATTTTCATTTTCTCTGGAAAGATGAGGTACTGTCAGTATTATTTTTCACAGAGAAAGTGTTGGTCAAGGGGTGATTGTGGAAAGGAGTCCTTTGGGATTGTATCATAAAAATTGACTGAACTTTACATACTTTTATCTTAGACTGAAGTCATTTGGTTGTATTTAAGAACAAAAACAATAGCAAATTTAGTGTGAGTAACCAGAAAAGGTTTGAATTCATTAAGAGCATAGAGGGATCCATCATAATGAAATTTTATTGGTTGCACTACATTTTGGTCTCCTAAAATAAGCTGTGGAGGGAAGAGAATTCACAAGTGCCAAGTTCTGTATTTATCTTTACATGCAAACATAACAGTGGAAGGGTATTTAATACATCCTTTGATACTTCCCTTCCCTAGTAAACTCATTTGATGGCAATTTATGTATCCTCAATTTAACTTGAATTAATTCACATTTGTTGGTTGTAGCGGAATCACAACAACACACTGCAGATCCAGTGGTGGACAGTGGGGTACCTTCATCATCAAAGCCTCTTCCAGCATCAGCTATCCTCACATTCATCCCAGACAATGAAGTGAAAAAGATTGTCACTATGCCTCAGGTTGAAAATAACAATAGTCTTGATGTGGATAAACAGATGGTGCTAAGGGAGAGAAGGACAACAGGCCAAGAAAGTCCTTTCACTCGGAAAAGGCCTACATTGTCTTCCTTTGAAACAGAAGGAGAAGCTAAAAGTATTGTACCTACAGGTGCTTGTCCGGAGGAATCCATGTCTGCTTCAAGTTCAGATGATATTGATACTGATTTAGTGGAGGAAAAGGAACTTGTCAAACAATCTTCAATTATGATGTCAATTGGTGAAGAAAAGGGTAGTTGGAAAGTGTCAGCTTCTGGTGAGTCCCTGAAAGAAACAAAAGAGCCAATTGCTCCTGAAAGCACTGTGAAGAAGGAAGAAAATAAGTCCTCTGGCTTATCTGAAAATGGCATGTTGTCAGAAAGGACTTCTGGTGATAAAATGGAAGAAGAGAAATGTCTGTTAAAGAACCCAATTTCTGAATTGGATGTCAAACCTAAGTTCAGCAAGAGCCAGAAAGAGATAATTTCTCAAACTAAAACTGTTGGAAAGAGTGAGATTTCTTCACCCTCTGCAGCAAATGACAGCAAGACTCTGTCTGTTAGTCGTAAATCAGTTGAGAAGGACACAAAGCCTGCCACAGTATTCTCTGTTGCTCACCCAACAAAGTCAAGTACTGCAGATGATGCAGTCACTGCTGTTCAACAAACTAAGCCAGAACCAGTATTTAGGCTTGGCTCAGAAGCAAATTACTCCTCCTATGTCAATCAGTTTACAAGTAATCCCCTAGCTCTGACCAAACAACAGCAGTTGGAGCAGAGAGATAAAAAGCGGAGCGTCACAAACAAATTTAGCCTTGTTGACTATAAGTGGCATGGGGATGTTAGTGGAAGTAAAGATGTCATTTTAAACACTTTGCGGTTTTCCATAGTTGGGCTTGAAAATTCCATAGCTTCAACCTTCATGCACCCTTCTTGGCCAGTGCAGCGTTCCACCTGGGTAAGAGCAGTCCATTTGTCAAAGACACCTAAAGAATTTGCCGCAGCTTTATCTTTTCTGGAGAGCTCAATACGACCAATCTGTTATCTTCCTGTGTGGAATGATGCAGTTGGCCATGTGGAGCTGCATCGCATGGTGTCTGAAGCCAAACAGGCTGGAACAAAAAAGAAAGATCATAAGGAAGAAGAAGAAGAGCCTGAGCTAGAACATAAAGGATTTGGTGAGTGCATGTTATTCTGCCTTTTC